TATACATACAGTATATATTTTTTTAAACAGGTTTTATGCCTTTTTATAGACTTGTGCTTTGAACTGGAATTGGAAAGTATGTCTGTTCAAGCTAAATAGAGTTTATATTTATATTTGTTCATTTAGTTGTTGAACCCTGCCATGATTTATTCAACTTAAATACAACTTCCAGCATTATCATTGTAGTTATAACCAAAAATATATAAATATGTGCTGGAAAATAATTCTACCTCTCTTATTACCTGATTATTAAGTTCATACTGCCTTGACATTTCTGTTTGTATCTCTTTGATAATTGCTATGATTTGTCATAATCTGTTCCTAGGATTTACAGATGCCACTTGATGTCTGGGGACCTTGTTCTCATTTTGATACTATTGTATAACTTGTATAACTTGCCATTCTGTGATTGTCTGTTCGTACGCTCCGCCCGGAAGTATATAATCCATTTCCTGTTGCTACAGTTCAGTTGCTACGTAACTGGACTCTTGATTCAGACCTGTTCACGTCACATCTCATTCTTTTGGAATTGCAAACCTTATTAAATTATCTGACGACCATCCACGCAGTTCATCTTCTTTTTATTCACGTGTTTCTGCCTTTTAATAAATGTTTCCACGACAAAATATATGACCACAAAGATGTTTTTGCACTAAAGATGTGTTTTACCAATGTTTATATATATTTTTCGTTTGCTCTTACTTTTCTTTTTGTTCTCTCCTTTTTTTTTGCAGGCAGCAAGTGCACTAACTGCATTCATGCAATATTTAATCTGTTTGGACAATAAGTAGAAAATAGTTTGAAAAAAAATGAAAGCAGCCAAAGAAACTACAAAATTAAACATCTAAAGGAATAAAGTTTCATGAATTGAAGCCTGCTTTTATAGTAATTCCTAATATTATTAAGCAAGTTTTTTTATTTTATTTTGAAGAGTATATGTGAGCTTTTAAAGATTAAACAAGCTTTATTTTGGAACTTCAAGGTAAAACTTCCTGTTAAAAACGTACTTGTTCGTAGAATTCATTGACAATCCCCTCGGTCCACTGCAGATGCAGCTCCTTACACTTCAGTGGTCCATTGACATCAGCTAGCTTGATGCACATCTGGCACACCAACAACCGGTCATTCTCATTGGTCCAATCGATACCAGATAATCCTTCATCGCCCACCTGACAGTAGTTAAAAAAAGAGTGATTTGTTCTGGATAACTAAGAATCTACACCAGCATTCGCAGTGACACATTACTCATTGCACATCGATGCTTGATCTGATGACATTTTCCAGCTGTTTAGAAACGCCGCTGCTGTGTTTACCTTTGCATTAAATTCTGCGAGGAAGTCAAAGTGCTTTTTGAGGTCGGTGGCCAGAATTGCCTCGATGACGAGGAAGCGGAAGCGCTTGAACTCCACGTGTTCAAGGTTCACCAGGAAGTTGTACTCGGGTTGAGACATGAAGAGGTTCCAGGCTGCRGCTGCATGGTGGTTTTCCAGGACGGATCTGTCGTTGTACAGAACAGCCTGAAAAAGGAAAACAATAAATGCAAATAAATATAGAGTTAAAAAACAGGAAAGTTACACTAACTTCATTAGCCTTATTTAAATTGGCATGACTTTATTTAGAGCTTGGCTAATCATTAAAAAAATGTATGTTCATCATTGTTAATATATGAAAAGGGATCTTTAATACAACAAATCATGCGAACTAACATTTTTTTTGTTAAAGCAATGATGTGCTTTTCTTCAATGAGTTATTTTATTCTCTAATCTTTCTACTGTACATCCCAAATAAGAACAATGGGCCTCATGCAAGAACATGTTTGTGTTCTTGCATGTGTTCTTGTTCTTCAGGGGCGGCTGTGGCGGAGTGGTTAGGGTAGTYGTCCTGGAACCAGAAGGTCACTGGTTCGATCCCCCGTCCAGCCGTCTCAGTTGTTGTGTCCTTGGGCTAGACACTTCACCCACCTTGCCTACYGATGGTGGTCAGAGGGTCCGGTGGTGCCAATGCATGGCAGCCCCACCTCTGTCAGTGTGCCCCAGGGCAGCTGTGGCTACAGTGTAGTTT